AGTTGAATCGCTTGTAGTTCTCTTATTTAGAAGTTATGTCTAACTCAGGGGGAGTATCTAGAAGCATGCTCACATTATCTTAATGTACTCTTTTTCCTACGATTATGGGCATTTTTCCCACTGGGTTTTTGCTACCTAATGAGGTTTTAATGAGGCACTCATCCTGAGATGATCATACTCCGTTGAGTTCACCACTTTCGTCTTATTTGACGTTTGTTTTAGACATATACATACTTCTCACTTTTCTCCTTAATCTATAGGTTTTCCCTATGCCTTGGGTTTTACTATAGCGAGGTTTTGCGAGTTTTACTACAAATGCATACTTCACTTAAATCTGAGACTCATGATCACCCATTGTGCCAATGACTTCATCAACTATTCTACCTTATCTGCTGAACATCTGATGAGATGGTTTGTTGAGTATTTACAAACTCAAGGGGGAGTGTTGCAATCATATTTAGAATAGGAATGTGATTGTGTAAATCCTAGGGAATCTGAGAATGTATGTCATATTCCTATTAGGAGTAGATTACCTATTAAATGTTGTAATCCTAAAGGGAAAAGTTTTACCTATTCTACTACTGTAAATAAAGGCACAATGGGGTGAATCAAATAGACCTCACAATTAAATCACTCTTTCCTCTCTCTAATTGTCGCCGGCCCCCTTCCTCTCTAAACCCTAAGGTCGTTTAACCAAATAGGCCTACAACAATTAGGAATATTTTAAAATTATGAATTAGAATTTTTTTTCTATTTAATCCTAACTTAAAGAGTTGAATTTTGTAATCTTTCTTAATATTCAATCAATAAACTTTGAGGTTTTCTCATATTGCTAATTCTAGCTTAGGTTATTTCACTCGATTTCCATGTTACTATATTATGATTCGTCAGTTGGTATGAAAACATGTTTTCCCTGCTCCAAGGTGTCCTCAAATTTCAAAGGGTGTACCGTGATGGCATCCAGAAGGGCATGTGTCATCTATGTAGATAATATCACTCGTCGCAAATGTGTCATCTATGTGGGTTTCAATTTTCTTCTGGTGCAAAGCATCACGAAGATTATAGTTAAGAAACACATATCGTACTTTTCCTCAGCGGGAATAGCAAAAGCAAAGAACTAGCTGTATCCATTACCTAAGAAAACCTACAAGTCGCAATATGCAAATGCTCTTAGCATAGATTGCAGCTATGATGTATCTATGTATAATTCATAACCTGCAAATCCACATAGCACACACAAAAGAACATGTAAACTAACAACACTAGCTAGTGACAAAATATGCAAGTGTACTTTCATTTCTTTATTCAACGCTGTTTGAGCTTACTGAGTCCTAGACATCAAATGAGGCTCAGAAAGTAGGATTGTATGGCAAGGTCATAAATGTGGTACTTATGTAAAATTGTACCTACAAAACAATTAAACATCTTTGATCAAAGACCAAAGCCACGCGTGAGGCATTTTTTGTTTTTTTTTTTTGTTTGGGGGTGGATGAATTTGGCTAATAGATCTCCAATTTCTAAGTCTGTTTCTCTAAAAAGAGAGATTTTAGGGCTTGGTTGCGCAACAAAAGCTTATTGGAAATTGGTATAGAATAAGGTGTTCATAGAGCATAGGACTGAGCACATGTGTAGAGTTTTCCATGCCATCTGTAGACATTCAGCTGGCCAAGGAGAATTATCCTGAAGGTATTGTTTAAGAGATTATCTTGTAGTATCCTTGATTAGATTTTATTGTGATTCCTTGCTTGATTTAGTTGGTCTTCAATAAGGAAAGCTTAGAGATATGGATTAGTTATTAATCCTATCTTTAATTCCTATGTCTTTTCTCCTTGCCATGAGTAGAAGAGCTTGGTGAAGTTGTAGTCAGTAGCTCAGGCCTTCTCAAAGGTTGAACTGCACGTGGAACGAATGTGAGCCTTTCTAATTTAATAAGGGCTTTCCTATTTTTTTGTGGGTAAAAGTCCACTTGTCAGTTCTAGGATTTTTTGGATTATTTCTGGCTCCATAAATGAGCCCACACTTCCTCTGCTGCTCGCAAGAGTTGTAAAAGATAGAATTTTACGTTTCGGTGAATATTGTTATGATATTATTCTTCTCACATAGAGGAATATATAAACTTATACAATCTCCTACAAACTAGGAAACAAGTATCTCAAATCTACAAGGATATCAATTACATAATTCTATACCCAAAATAACTCTACATTCCTTATTCCCCAAGGTTGACTCATGCAACATTCCCCCTCAAGTTGGTGCATATATATCACCTAGGCCCAACTTGTTAAGTGAGTCCTGAAGCACTCTTGTCGCCACTGCATGAGTTAACACGTCAGCTAACTGGTCTTCAAACTTTCCGTAAGGAATATCAAGTAACTTAAAATCCAACTTCCCTTTGAAAAAATGTCTATCCACCTCAACATGTTTTGTACGATCACGTTGAACTGGATTATTAGCTATTTCTCTCACAACTTGATTATCACAATATAATAGCATAGCTTTACATGGTTTGAACCTAATTTTTGTAGGAAGAATCCTCAGCCATAATAACTTGCAAATTCCATGTGCCATACCACAGTATTCAGCCTCTGTTGTGGACCTAGCAACCACATTATGTTTCTTGCTCCTCTAAGTCACAAGATTTCCTCCAACAAATGTAAAGTACCCTGATGTAGAGTGTCTATCAGTAATGTTCCCAGCTTAATCAGCATCAGTGTACCCTTTGAAAATCAATCATTTTCCAGGTGCACCTTTCAAATTACTCAATATGCGCATTACTGTAGCCATGTGATCCTTACTGGGAAAGTGCATAAATTGACTTACTACACTAACAGCATATGCAATATCTGGTCTTGTGAGAGACAAGTAAATTAACCTTCCTACTAACCTCTAGTATATTTCCCTGTTTGCTGGAACTTGGTCCGGGTAGATCGCCAAATGATGATTTTGAACTATAGGTGTTTCTGTTGGTTTACATGCCAACATCCCTATCTCAGACAACAGATCCAAAACATACTTCTGTTGAGATAAGTAATTATCATCATGGGAACAAGCAACTTCAATTCCCAAGAAGTACTTCAAACCTCCTAATCTTTCATCTCAAACTCCAAACAGAGATACACATGTAGTGTCTCCATCTCTTCTTTATTATCACTTGCGACCACCATATCATCCACATATATTATCAATAAGGTGACCTTACCTTCCCTGCGTTTGATAAACAAAGTGTGATCTGCCCTTGTCAGTAACCATATCTTTTCATTGCATCAGTGAATCTTCCAAACCATGCTCTAGGTGATTGTTTGAGTCCATAAAGAGCCTTTTGCAGTCTACATACTTTGCCTGCTCTATTCTGTACTTCATACCCAGGTGGAAGCTCCATGTATACTTCTTCTTCCAAGTCTCTATGTAGAAAAGCATTTTTTACATCAAATTGTTTCAACGGCTAATCAAAGTTAGCGGCTAAAGACAAAAAAACTCTTATAATATTCATTTTTGCAACTGGGGCAAATTTTTCCTGATAATCTACTCCGAAAGTCTATGTGTACACCTTAGTAACCAACCTTGCCTTGTATCTATCAATGATTCCATCTGCTTTGTGTTTGATAGTGAACACCCATTTGCATCCCATTGGTCTTTTTCCTTATGGTAGTGACTCCACGCTCCAAGTTCCATTTTTTTGCCTTCATTTCGACCTCAATTGCTTCTGCCCATCGAGGATCCTACAAAGCTTCTTCCACTTTTGTTGGAATTTTGACTCCATCCATTGTATTCACCAAGGCTTGGCACTCAAGAGATAATCGATGCGTAGAGACATACTTTGCAATAGCATATCTAACTTTTTCATCCAGAGAATACATGTCAGGAGGTTTCCCACGATTTTGTATAGGAGACAATACATAAGTACTTTCAATATTAGTCAAATTATGAGCTTCATCAGATTAAGATAAACTTACCTCATGGATATACTCGGGCACATGGACGGATACCACCAGATGAGGGTTATTTCTTGAAGTGCTTGGGCTGTCAGGATTTTGAGTTAAAGGTTGCAGCTCGCTGCTACACTGCCTACTGGGCTGTGAGGTGTTTTGCACGCTAGGCTGAGAGACTCCCTCAGGCCCACTTGCTAGCTCTCTACTTTCCAAGTTCAGCAAGCCCAAATTAGGCTTAACCATGCTGCTGAGCTCATAGTCACTCAAACCCAAATGGGGCTCACCATGCTATTGGGCTTATGGTCACTTAAACCCACTGATGTTGGATCGCTAAAACTCACGGTTGGCTAGTAGATGCTACCACAGCAGGTGTCACGCTCACGTGGCCATCCACTTGCCCAGTTGGAAGATCAATTCAACTATAATCTTTATGTGTGCTTATCTCCCCCTGAAGATTATAGTAGGTTTGTTTAGTGAGGAAAAAAATCTCGTGCTTATAAAATGTAACATCCGTGGTGATGTACATATGCTTGGTTTGTGGGTGATAACATCGGTACCCTTTTTGTTGACCATTAAATCCTAGAAAAATACATCGAACTGCACATGGATCCAACTTACTAGCTGATTTTCGTGAAGGTGCACATAGGCCACACAACCAAAGATACGTGGTGACAAATAAAAGGAAGATGGTAACGTCACATGATCAGCAAAAACTTCCATATGAGTGCGAAAATTATGCACTCGGGGGAAGAGGGGGCATTTGGTTCATTAGATAAACGAAGTATCAGAAGGCATCCGCCCGTCTCATGAACAGTGTTGTGCTCCTGGAAAATTTGAGAAAGTTCGATATTGAGATATTCCCCGCCATTATCTAACCTGAGAACCTTAAGGGGAAGAGAGTATTGATTTTTAACCATGCAGTAAAACTATTGAAAAATTTGTCATCACTTTTATGTTTCAAAGTATAAAGCCATGTCATTTTGGTGCAATCATCCACAAAGATAACAAACCAACGAACCCTGTGACTAGTAGCTACCAGAGAAAGCCCCTCACACATCAGAATAAACTAACTAAAAAGGAACTGTTCTTTTATTGAAACTCAAATGATAAGAAGTATGATGACTTTTTGCAAGAATGCAATCATTACACTGGAAATCAGAGTCTGAAACGCCATGAAATAAAGACGTAAACAATTTTGTCAAATAACCAAAAGACACATGCCCTAATCGACGATGCCATAACCAGATTGTCTTATTCTTGTTTGGGTGACTACTGCGCACTTGATTTACTCTACTTACCAACACATCATCCACATAATATAACCTTCTTCTCTTAGTACCATACCCAATTATCGCCCAAGTCTGGATATCCTGAAGTAGGCAAAAAGTGGGAAACATTAACACAACACAATCTAATTGCTTAGTAACTTGACCAACATAAAGTAGATGATTGAATAATGACGGAACAAGTAGTGCGTTATGAATAGATAGAGATAAAGTAAGGGAAATAGAACCCTCTCCCGTTACAAGCACAACATCACCGTTGGCTGTAATGACATCTTCTTTAGACGGCAAAGTCATGTGATAAAATAATGATGCATCGTAAGTCATATGGTCTATAGCTCCAGAGTTAATTATTCAACTAGTATCTTTTTTGGTGGATGTGATTAAAACAATATCGATTTTACCTGAATCTCTCAAGTTATCATCCATTGAAATTTGATTGATTAAGGATAAAAGTGGACCGGTCTCATCATCCTTGGACGCTGCCTTTGAGGTCTGCTTTGTATATTGGGATGCTGTTATTTGGTTGGGCAGATTGGGCCCAGGCTGCCTCGCTGCAACAGTAGTAACCTATCTGCCCCCATCAGCTTTCTCGTGTAGGCCCACTTTGTCCCCCTGCTGCAGTTGACGATGTTCCTGGTCTAGCAGCTACCACTTGAGCTTATCCCATCCGTTTGTTCCTTCGTGCCTTTAACTCCTTCTTCCTCTCCCAGTACCATTATAGGTAGCTGTGAATTTCAAAGCAGGTATTCTCAATGTGTCTCGTTCCATTACAATGATTGCAATGGAGTTTGTCTTTGTCGATATCTTCCTGGGTACGGAATAACTGAGAGTTTCCATTATACGGTGGATGAGAACTAGGCGCCTTAGTTGCCATAGCCATTGAGGGCCTTGCCATTGTAGTCTTTGTTCCCATCATAGTGGCCTGCCTCTGGGATTCACATCGTACCAAATTGAAATATTCTTCGATTCTGGGGATAGTTTTCATCCTTAGAATCTCACTCCGAACTTGGTCGAAACCACTATTTGACCTATCATGGAAATCATACACCCCATCGCAAGTTCCTCTTTACGAGTTTTCTAGTCCACTCCATACACCATATGAATAGGACATCTCTTGTCAAGGTCCTACCACACACCCTTTAGTTCGATGAAATACAGATTAATTGGACGACCGTCTTGTCTTGTCTATATAGCCTTGCACCAAAGTTCATATTATTGTGACTCGTCAGAACCATCATAGAACGTCTGGGTGACACTCTCCCAGATATCTTTGGCCATGGGCAAGTCTATAAAAAGGCCAACTAAGTGTGGTTCCATGGTTTTTAGCAACCACCCTCTCACAATGGCATCTTCAGTTGACCACTTCGCACATCCTGGATCATCTTCATCAACCGTTGGGTTTTTTCCCGTTAGATAGCCTTGCTTACCGAGATCTGAAGCGTGAACCTTCATCGTCTTCGACCAAACCTTGAAGTTCGAGTCGCTTAACCGAAACCCAAATGGAATGGTGTTGATGTTGGTAGACTCTGCCATTGCACGAACAATTTTGCAGGTTGTTTTGGTTTTGTTGTAGCTTTGTTGATTCCAAAGGTTACGGGGTTTTGATTTTTGGGTTCAAGGTTTGATGAACACCAAAGTTTTGATGACTAGGGTTTTTTCAAGAAGAGACAAGTCGAAGCTTGCTCTGGTACCAAGATAGAATTTTAGGTTTCGATGAATATTGTTATGATATTATTCTTCTCACATAGAGGAATATATAAACTTATACAATCTCCTACAAACTTGGGAACAAGTATCTCAAATCTACAAGGATATTAATTACATAATTCTATAACCAAAATAACTCTACATTCCTTATTCCCCAAGGTTGACTCATGCAACAGTAAAATCCCAACTTGAGTGGGCTTGCCAAAAATGGGTTCCTTGTAGGGATGGGCAATGGCTATGACGAACGGGTAACCACAGTTATTTACCCATAACCGTTTATACTCATACCCGCATAACCGTTTACCCGCTGGGTAATTGCCTAAACGGTTATATCCATACCCATAACCGTTTATAAACGGTTAACCATACTCATAACCACGTACCCATTTAATCGTAACCATATACCCATTTATCCATACCCGTTTATCCATTTCTTAACCCATTTACCCCTTTTTGCACCTATTTACATATTTTTTTTAACCGTAACCGTATACAACTCTAATAATTGAAATAATAAAGACGAATGATAGTTTTAATCAATCAAGGTAATATAATATATTTGCTAATAATTGATTTTTTACTAACAAAATACCTCTCATTACTTGAGCAAGCATATTGGAAAGAAAATTCATGTATTTTTGACACATTTTTCTTCTATACCCAAGCAAGTATTCAATTATAACATCCATATGATTACAAAGTAAAGCTTCTAAAAACTCAAGGTAGTCATTATCTTGAATACCAGATGATTCAAAACTCCAAAATATTTCAAAACTAAACATTTTCGAACACTAATGCTTTAAGCACATTCAATCACAAAGTCTCATTGACTCGTTGTCACCAACAAAAGCCTACAAAAGAAATGTATAAATTGAATTAGTATCCCAAAAGAAATGTTTTTAACCAGAGGTGTTGGCATATAGGAGGAAATATGTATGAAGGATCAAAAAGGACAGCTAGAAGAGAACGTATTAAGGTATAACTAGTGAATGTGACCTCAGATTATACATCATATTCATACCACAGGTCCACAACCAGCTCCCACAGCAGCAATTTAAAAGTGAATTAAACATACCAGTCAGATTCATCACCTAACTACTATGATGCACATCACAATTACATGAACAGGTTACAGTCTTACAGATTAGGTTTTTTGTATTTTTTTAATTTTATATATCTATTAAAATAAATGGGTAAACGAGTACCCGTTATAACCGTCTATTTAAATTTTACGGGTAAACGGTTATACCCATAACCATTTAATTATCTAAACGGTTATCCATAACCGTAATTGCGAAATTTAAATAGATGGATAACCGCTATTACCCATAACCGATGGGTATTTGCCCATCCCTAATTCCTTGATTGCATTGGATTCTGAGCTTTGACTTGGAGTTAAAGTCTTTTAGGAGATGAAGTCCAACTGCCTTATAGAATTTATATAACTCACCTTAAGTAACCCAATGTTCTTCTTTGCTTGCCCCATGAAGGGTTGATCATTATCGCACCGGAGGGTAAGAAAAAGTTCATCTTTTTTTCTTCATACTGCTGCCACGGGGTAGCTTGGAATGAGTGGTCCGAGGCCTGCGTGAATGACACAGCAGCAACGGCTGCTTATTGGTGGAGATTGGCAAGGCTTGGCTAAAAGGGTTGGCACTGTGAGCTAAAGACTGGCGGGGACCAAGTGTTATGCGAGAGAGAGGAACAGACCACGGGGCCTGTTGGGTTCCAATGGTTTTGGGCCTGTGAGCCTGGTGCGCTGAGCTAGGATACGGCCTGGCAGGTGATGGTGGATTCAACTTGGCGCTGGGGCGTTAGGCTGAGTGTGTGAGTGGGTTATGGGGCCTGTTTGGAAGAAAGGCCGGCATCAGCGTGGGCTGCTACTGTAGCTGATGTTGTTGCTGCATAGGCCGAACATGTGGGGAGCTGAGCTGCGAGCGGGAGCTGTGAGGATGGAGTCAACGCAGCTCGGAGCTGCAAAGCTAAATTGGCGTGGCTAGGAGCTGTGTTAGGAATATCGCATTTAAAAATGGAAAAACATACTTGGATATTAAAAAATAAAATAATCAAGATAAATAACATTAACAATTAATGTGGTTCGGCTATGTGTGCCTACATTCACACGGTAGAAAAAATAATATTTCACTATATCAATAATGAGTACAACAAATATCCAAGCCTCTAGCATTAAGACTTGACAAAAAATCTGAAAGAATGAGAACAAGAAATACACTTTTATGTCTTTTCTTTTCTCTCCTGCACACTTTACCATTCTCTTACTTTGACTCCTTAGTGGTATACAATCTGAAAGGCCGTATCCTAGTGCAATAGTGCAATATCTTAGTGGTATACACTTTTATGTATTTAGCTCATTTTATATATACATAATAAGGTCTTCTTCAATAAGAATTACTAATCTAAGTTGTGAATCTTTCTCCAATTGAGAAACCAACTCTATCTGGGAAAATAACTTCAATTGGGTAAACAATTTAAATTGGGTGAACAACTTCAATTGAGAAAACAACTCCAATTGGAAAAACAACTTCAATTGGGTAAACAACTTCCAATGGGGAAACAACTCCAATTAGGGTAACAACTCAAATTGGGTAAACAGTTTAATCCTCTAAGACTATAGTTCCCAATATAATTAGGGCAACTCGTCATGGATTGAAAAAACCAACAGGTTGCAGGGTTGGAGTGAGCTAGGCCAGAAGTTGCAAAGTTGAATTGGCACGGATGGGAGCTGTGAAGCGAAAGCCAATGCGGCTGAGAGCTTAGGATCAGAAAGCAGACGTGATTAAGAGTGCTGGGAGAGGCGCAGGTTGGAGCCGCGAGAGATGCATGATGCCTCGCTAGAAGGTTATCTTGCTTGCTAGACCTTTAGTTGAGAAGAAATCAAAGACTTCCTCTGGTACTTGTGGGAGTTGTGCTACTTCTAGAAAGTTTGTTATCGAGCTATCTCCTTTAAAGGACCCAAAAAAAAAAAAAAATTACTGCTGAGTTTGTTAAATATGTCATTTCAAAAGAGCTAAAGTCTTGCCTGAAAAGATCGTTCAACACAAGAGTTCATTAAGAGCTAAAGTCTTAGCTGAAAAGATGTTCAACGTAAAAGTTCCTTATTGGCCCATCGTCTGGGTTTGAAGGTAGAATGAAGCGTCCATTTGTGGCTAAGTCTGGATCGACTTCTAAAAGGCTCACCACTATGAGAAGTGAGAATGAAAGTTTGTCATTTTGGAAAGTGGATTTAGCTGTTAAGAGGCGTTAAAGTCCACTCCTTCTGCTGCTAGCTTGTTTGAGCTACTTACTAAGAATAAAGAAATTGCTCGAGTTTGATTTCTCACTTGCTATAGATAGAGTAGTTGAAGGTGAAGTTGCTGAGACTAGAGCTGCTGAAGATGAAATGATGGAAGTGTGTGTTGTTGAATTTCGATGGTTTTCATGCTAGTTATCAATTTGTTAGAAATTTAATAAACTACTTTCTTCTATTTACTTCATCGTTGTTATTTAATTGACTTGAATGTTCTTGAAACTTGGTTTACTTGAAGTTTCTTCCAAAACTTTAGCCACAGAAGTGCGAACTATTTGCGTGGCTTTGATAAAAGTAAGCGTCTTTAGCAAGTGTGTCTAGGCTGTGAGTTTTGACTTTCTAGGGTGTTGGACTGCTAAGTTCACTATGTCCTATTGCCCCTTAAGTCATGTGATACTAGGGTTTCCAAGTTGGTTAAATTCATTGCTCGAACGAAAGTCATCTAGAATGAGAACCTATGTGTGTGATTGAAGCGAGGTTTCGTGGATAGTGTATTATGAGCTTATGGGATCTTGTACTTCACAAGACCGAAGCATGTGACATAGAACGTTGAATAGGTAAGACAGAGATCAAATCGAAAAATTTCGTAACTTCTATGCTCTATATTGTTGGTGCAGGACAATATTGGTGGCATGGAAGGTTGCATAGGTCTTCTCCAAGAGATCATGTGAGTCAAGTCCTTTTTACAAAACTTGACAAGTGGTCGGATTCAACAAACCTCATAATTGTATTCATTCACATACTTAAAGTCTTGGAAGCGTAAATGTCACCAATCGTGTCTTGCTTCGGGCAAGAAGATATCTTTTTACGATCAAAACACTCTTCCAAAGCAAGCCATAAAGCTCTTGGACCCTCCTCGGAGAGGTACTCGGTCTGCAGTGTGTAACATCCCACATCGCCCAGGGGAGTGATCTTTAAATGTATATTCCCATCCCTACCTAGCACGAGGCCTTTTGGGAGCTCACTGGCTTCGAGTTCCATAGGAACTTCGAAGTTAAGCGAGTAGCGCGCGAGAGCATTCCCAGGATGGGTGACCCATCAGGAAGTTCTCGTGTGAGTTCCCAAAAACAAAACCGTGAGGGCATGGTCGGGGCCCAAAGTGGACAATATCGTGCTACAGTGGTGGAGCGGGCCCGGGAAGTGGTCCCCCCTGGGCGGGATGTGACAATTTGGTATTAGAGCCTAACCCTGGCCGTGGTGTGCCGACGAGGACGTCGGGCCCCTAAGGGGGGTGGATTGTAACATCCCACATCGCCCAGGGGAGTGATCCTTAAATGTATATTCCCATCCCTACCTAGCACGAGGCTTTTTGGGAGCTCACTGGCTTCGAGTTCCATAGGAACTTTGAAGTTAAGCGAGTAGCGTGCGAGAGTATTCCCAGGATGGGTGACCCATCGGGAAGTTCTCGTGTGAGTTCCCAAAAACAAAACCGTGAGGGTATGGTTGGGGCCCAAAGCGGACAATATCGTGCTACGGTGGTGGAGCGGGCCCGGGAAGTGGTCCCCCCTGAGCCGGGATGTGATACAGTGCGTCATGCATATGTCTTCCGATGAAGATCATGGCAACGACTTTGTTAGTTGTGCGAATCGGGTTATCTATCTCAGCTTCAATGGTAGCCCTAAAGCTTTTTGTAGTGAGGTGGAGCTTTATCTTGAACGCATTTCAGGTAGTTTCTTTCCAAATACTTCCAAAGTGGCAAAGTCAAGTTTGTTAAGATTTGACATGTAACTGCAATGGAGGGAGTAAAATCACGGTCAGTACTATGGATAAAAACATCCATAGTCACAAGTAAAACATTCGGGTTTTATAGACATGTTTGGTTTAAATTTAGTATGAAATACTTCGGGTTTCATCTGTGTATGTTTAATGAAAATTTCGGGTTTTCATGGTACTATATTCGGAACTTGAGGTTTGAATTAAAAGTATGAACTTCGAGTTCATAACTCCTACAAACAAAAGCGTATATACAAGGTAATATATGTATAAAGAAATTAAATTAAATGGGTTAACAAAACCCAGGCCCAAATGTTGGGCTACAAAAGGAAAAGTGAAAGCCAAGTCCCGGAAAATAGGGTTTCGGATTTCTTATGAGCTAAACGAAAAAGGCCCAGAAGAAAATAAATAATTTTCTCACACTCGGATTAGAATACAAGTCCATTGAGAGAAAATAAGTGAGCTGAAAGCCCAAAACATAACAGGAAGCCAAACTGGGCTTTTGTTTTTTAGGTCTGCAAAAGGGAAAGTTCCAGGCCCAAACAGTGGGCTGGGATTGAGTGTAGGTTGAGCATAGTGAGGCCCAAAGGCCTTGAGTCGGGTTAAGGCCACCCAGCGACGCTAGGTGTGTTGCCGTCGAGGAAACCAGGGCAATGACTGTTTGGTCAGGGTTTCTACGGGAATTTACGTCACAACAGTATTCATGATGTTGTATAATATACTACCTTCGGAAACGACAATAGAATACTTTTTCTAATAAAGTCATGATAGACACAATGCTAGTAAATTTCAAATCAGAAACTTATCAAGAAACTAAATCAGAAAATTTCAAAAAAAACATAATGAAGATGTTTGAAAACTTTGAGTTTTAATGATAAAGACAAAATAAATGATAAAATGAATAGTACCAGGATTGACTTTTTAATGTAAAAATACGATTTTTCGTTAAAATAAACAGTACCATAGACTTTTCGTTAAAACTTTTAATTCCAAATCCTGTAGTTGTGTGAAACAGACCTTAACATTGTGTACTGTGCATTTCACAGTATTTACAATTGGCTCTACAACAAGCATATTATAAACAGAACTTTCACCACAAAACTACAAACATAATTCAAGGAGATGACCCCCCCATCAAACTAAAGTCGGGTTATTAGATCGAACAATGACTCGACTTGCTACAGGCTGGTCACACTGGCTTCAGGTTCATGACTTCCACTTGCTTCAGACTCGTCATGTCCCGTATCTTCATCTACTTTTACTTTCCATAATCATGACATCAGTTTTAATTTCTTGGCATCTTCGGCATACAACAGGCTGATACCACACTTTTCCAATTCAAATAGGAACTGGGTTGGCAGGAAAGACTCATTGGCCGGAAACGAACAGAGGCCTCCGTAATAAGTCCGTAAAAATCAGTGGAGTATTTAGCATCTTCTTCAAGTTCGAAGGCGTTGTAGGTCACAAACACGTGATGTGGATTGAAATAGGAGTCGTACCATCCTAAATAGAAAGAACAACTGATCATTTCATGACTTTCACCGTTCTTAGTTATGAATTTGTACTTGCATCCGAACTCCACACCATGTCGAACCCAGCAGTCGTTATAAGTAACAACCACAGATAGAGCAAAACCCAAGAAACCATTGCGAAACCAGTTTGGGGGAAGATTGATTATTATTGAAGATCCGTCATTTTGATTGCTGAACCAATTTGGAATTTCATGCCCCAGACATACAATGGTAACCAAAGGCCGAAAGGAGTTTTCCTGTAACATTGATGGACAATTGGACTATATATTTTAGATCAGTGAAAAGTAGCAACAGAGTGGACAGAGAGACGTACATCATATTTTTCTTCTCTTAACTTCGGTGACACACTTGCGGCTCCCAAGATTCTAAGTTGTGCATCAGCCATTATGTTGCTCCGTGCATTGTGCTCTAAATTTATGCAACCAAAAAAGTTGATTATTTCTTGACAAAACTTATCCCAACCTTGTGCGAGTGTTGTCCTTGAACTTGACACTGTCTTTAGTGGTGTGCAACCTTCTGCTTCAAGATATACTAGCACTGGGAGCTCTGGTAAAGACTGAAGCATCTTGCAATTGGTTAACCACAGGCGAGACAGACGAGGTGCTTCTTTGATGCATGCAGGTATGCTTCTAATCAGGGTTTCACTCAGATTTACATCTTTCAATGAAGCTGAGCAAACGAGACTATCAGGGATTTCTGATATACTGCTGCGACAGAGGTTTAGTACTTCCAAAGAGATCAAACTGACAGTGCCGGAAGGTAATTCTTTGAGTTCCTGACAAGCATCAAAGTTGAGAGTTACAAGATTTTTTAAATTGTAGATGCTGCTTGGGACAACCTCAAAGTTCCTGCAAAGATGGAGATCTAATGTTTGAAGCCCAATTAGATTATCAATTGAACAAGGAAGCTTTTTAACCGCAGTCCCTTTGAAACAAAGAAACTCCAGATGTTCCATTGGCTCCAATATTTCTGGGAAGTATTCGAGTCTAGAGCAACCAGAGAGATTAATTCCCACAAGACATTTCAACTTACAAATGCTGGTTGGGAGACTTTCAAGCCTCTTGCAACCTTTTAATTGAAATGTTTCAAGAACAGGGAGAAACTCGGTCGATGAATGTAGCTCTTTAATAGCTGTTTCTTCTAAACTAAGAAACTCCAAATGTTCCATTGGATCCAAGATGACTGGGAAGCATTCAAATCTAGAGCAACCAGTGAGATTGAGTTCCTTAAGAGATTTCAAATTGCAAATGCCAATTGGGAGACTCTCAAGCTTTTGGCAACCCTTTAGTTTAAATGTAGTGAGACTAAAGAGGTGCGCCATTGATGATATATGCAATAATTTTGTTGATGTCCTAGCCAAATCTAATACACTTAGATCCTTGGGATGCTCGGAAAACTCGCCAAGAGATAAGCAGTGATCTAGACTAAAAGTACTGGAGACTTTCAGATTGTAAGTGCTGCTTGGAAGTTTCTCAAGTTCTTTACAATCCTCAATATTAAACTCAGAAATTCTTTCATTAGACCAAACTGATAATGGCAACTCCTTTATACCAGAGCTTCGTAAACTTAAGAATTCAATATTGCCTGGCATCTCTGGGAGATAATTGAAGACTCTTGCACCATCCAAGTTGAACTTAGGTAAGCTTGTCTAGAAATTGAAAATACGAAGGAATATCAACCAAACTTGTACAACCAAAAAGATTTATATACTCGATCTTCAAACACTCAGAGAGATTTGGAATTTCAGTCAAATTGATAGAGTAACTAAGATCAAGCACTTTTAAGCTCAAAAGATTCTGTTACAAATGAAAGAGAAATAGTAAGAATTAATACTTTAGATTGAACAACATTCTGCCCTGCATGTTATAAGAAGTAAAATAAGCATATATACCTGGCCTTTCTGCCAAAGTTGATCAACTAGGATGTGGGGCATTCAAAGCTCAAGAAGATCTTCTGGAGAAAATTTTGACGGCAAAGATTTGAAAGGAAATCCACACCAGTAAAGATAACAAAGAGAATTGGGAAGATATAGAGAAAAGTTTAATAGGCCAAAGCTAGAATTATGAACATTTAGCAACTTCAGTTGATTCATTTTTTGAAATCTGCACGATTCAATTGTTGTTCTTCAATCTCAGATATGATAAAGAATACAGCTTCAACAGCTGAAGTTCCCTGTCAATCAAGAGCAAATTATAAATTTGAATACAATACAAACAAAAGTTAACCAGAATTACATTTATAAGAATTTAACTTATTATAAATGAGTTTCTAATAGAAAGTTAATGACATTTTGTAATGTTAATGCATTTGGCTTATACCGTATTATTTTTCAATACATGATAGACATCCTTAGCATTGAACAACCTCTTACCGTCTTACGTTTTCCAGGCTCTTCAACGCATTGTTCACGAACAATTGCCCAACCCATTTCCTGAAGCAAATCATGCATCTCTATGGTTTCCCGGGTTGAATCATTTGATATGAGAGATTTGTCAATGAGAACTCTAATTCCAGCTCCCGCAAAGAAACCACGGATGCCTAACATTCTTTTTACATACTCTGTACTCTTCCCTTTGTTAAAACATGCTATATCAAGAAATACCTCCTGCTCATGTATTTCTAATCTATTGTAGCTTAGTCTGAAAGCATTCTGAATTTCCTTCCTAGGAATTTTTTTCAGTTTGTTGAACATATCTTCCCACTCTTCTTTGCTCTCGCATGGAAGGAATAAGGAACCAAATATTTGAAGAGCTAAAGGAATACCTCCAGCATAATCTACTACTCCTGCAGACAACTCTGCATATTCTGAACTAGGACAATTGTTTTTGAAGGCATGAAAATGAAATAGCTGCAGAGCGTCATCTGGTTTTAATCCCCCAACCCTATATATCTTATCATCTTCAACAGTTTTCCTAAGCACGCTCCGATGTCTACTATTTATAATGATTCTACTAACCTCCAGCTAGATGATCTATTTGCCTTGAATCAATCACATCATCAAAAACAATGAGGACCTTTGTGCGGCTGAGCCGTTCTCAAACAAAAGTTGATCCAATGGACAAATCGTTTTCCATTAGTATGTCCCTAAAAAGTGTTTTTTTCCAAGAGATCTCGTCCATCTGCTTGTTCTGATCTCTCCCTTACATTTTTGAGTAAACAAGCAGTGTCGAATTAGAAGAAAGTCCGTGAAATACAGACTCAGCAAGGGGTGGTCTTGCCAACACCACCCATAGCCCAAATTCCTACAGTGGAAACAACAAGTGAATCATTAAGGCATAATAAAAATTCAACTTCCTCAATATGGCTTTCAATTCCAACCAGGTCGTTCAAACCAAATGACGATTTGCGAATCAATTTGGTCCAAATATCGTCGACAACTGTCTTAACTAGATCGGCCTCAGTCCTGCATATATGATCATCAAGGACATACAATAGTTAGATCCCTAAATGAAACTTGTATGAATCAAATGGTCACAAGTAGAATTGATACAAGTTATACAGAATTAGTTACCCATTTTTGTTTGAATAATCAAACCCAGAAAGATTGGCTACAGTCATCAAAGCTTTCCTCCACTTGCGCACCTTGTCCATACTGTCCTTAAAAACGGTTTTCAAGTTGAGCAAATGCATCTCCGTAACTTCCCTTTTGTTTTTGTACATCAGAGGGATTGATGTCGTAGAAAATGGGTATAACCAACTGCCCATATTTTTCCTCGCATTCAAGTATATGGCAAAGTTCAATCAAACACCATGAGGAAGACGTAAATGATCACTGAAAGCTTGGACTTCTCGATTGCTTCTGGCAGGGCAGGTTCAATTTCGTCTCCTCTCTCAAGTTTGTAATCTATGTAGTTTTCAATTTTCTTGCGAAGTAAGGCATCATGACGATGGCTGGTAAAAGTAAGGCGGGTGTCCTCACCTCTGAAACTAATAAACACATCATACTTCTCGCGATGAGAGGGTCTCGATAAAGGAGGAGAAGAAGAAGATGAAGCCATATCTCCCTATCCACAACCAGCACACCTACAAGTCAAAACATGCAAATTGGCTGTATATGAATGAGAAATGAGTGATTTTTCGACAAATAATTTATGCAACAGCAAAAGTCAGTTGGATTACCTCCGGAGTCCAGACCAAGATAGAAGTTGCAAAATATTACGACCAAAACAACCTAATTAAGAAGCCGTTGAACTGATCACGACGAAATTCAGCATGAGAGCTAGAAAGCAGTTGCAGAGATCCCTTTATGTTTTAACAATTGTAGTTGACTATTTGCACAAGAACAATGTAGGAAAATCACCAGACGTTAACAACCAAAAAAATTAAACTTAAAACTAAAATTAAAAAAAATAGAAAGGAAACTTCCAAGGAATCAAGCCATCCAACTCTTTACTATCTGGTGGCAACTCAACAAAAATGCACAAATTTAAAATTATCATGACAACATAACGAGGCCCCTTTCACGCGGTTTTCAAACATTTATCTCTTGTTTTTCTCTTAATCTCCACATAGGCATCATATGTAAAAAAAATTCAAAAGGAGATGTGACCCATGATCATCTTCTTTTAACAAAGAATAAACAAATTGAATTGAAGTGTGAATTGTGAAACTTCTTCTAACAAAAAATCCAATTAATATACTATTTGGTATTTCAACTAATTCCGTGAAATGTTTGATGTAGAATACGTACCTTAAATCCTATTACAATCGAATTTCGGATGGAATTGATTTGTTTTATTTCTTTTGGTACATGGGAGGGCAGAAGGCATAAAACAAGAAAGACTACCACAGTTTTTAAGTTAGACTACCAAGTCTACAATAGTTTTTTCTCTACGATCGAGCATAGTTGATCTTGCACCTCAAGTTTAGTTCTCTTTCGGCTACTGGTCATCCCCTTGTTTCTTGTAAGGGCTCAAAGTATCACTTCCGCTTGCTTCAGACTCATCACAACTTCTCAGACGTTTAGTATCTTCTGCTACTCTTAGCTCCGTCAAGCGACATCAGATTACTTAGTATCATCGGCATACAACAGGCGGACTCCACACCTTTTTATCTTCACCGTGCATGAGTTAAGTGGTATGTCATGATGATCTATTGGGTAGAACTCAACAGATGCCTCAGTGACACCATTGTGAAGAGCAGTAGAGCATTGTGCTCCCCCCACAAGGTCAAATGTATTATACCACACAAACACGTGGTCCGAATTGAAATTGTAGCCGTTGCTTTCTTCACCTTGGGTTTCACCCCACAGCCGATCACACAAACGACAGCTATATTCATGGCTTTTACCACAATTCCCTTTGAGTGTGGATTTACATCCGAACTCCAATCCTTGTTCAACATTATAGTTGTCAAATTCAACCAGAAGAGAGAAAACGAAACCCAAGAAGTCTGACCCAAAACAATTCGGAGGAAGACTGATATTTATCGAAGATCCCTCATTTTGAGCTCCGAACTGATTAGGAATTTCATTTCCCGGACATACAATGGTAACTAAAGAATTTCCATCCGATGATTCCACATTGTGTGATGCCGTCATTTGCATAATTCGAAGATGAGCGTCATCCATTATGCTGTTCCACGCATTCTCATCCAATTTCAAGCAACCAGAAAATATAAGTTTATCGGGGATCCTTCCATAAACTCCATGTTCGTAATCATCACAACCTTGTACAAGCTGAGTCCTTAAACTTGACACTTTCTCCAGAGAAGTGCAACCATGTGCTTCCAGCCAACGTACCCCTGGGAGCTCAGGTAAAGATTGAAGGCTTTTGCAATTATTTAACAACAGGCAAGACAGCCGAGAAGCTTGTTTGATGCTTGCTGGTATCCACTTAACCATGGTTCCTCTTAGATCTAATCCACGTAATGAGGTTAAGCAAACGAGGCGATCAGGGATTTCTAATATACCAGAATAACTGAGAGTTGCTTCTTCCAAATCGTTCAAGCCAAATGAGGATGAAGGCAATTTTTTAAGTTTAGAACAGCCATCAAAACTAAGAGTTCTAAGACAGTTTAAATTGTAGATGCTGCTTGGGACAAACTCAAGCTTCTTGCACAGACGGAGATCTAATGTTTCAAGCCCAATTAGATTTTCGATTGATGAGGGCAGCTCTTTAACTGCTGTCCTTCTTAAACTAAGAAACTCTAGACGTTCCATAGGCTCCAAGATTTCAGGGAAATAGCTGAATCTACAGCACTCTTTCAGGTTGAGCTTCCAAAGGGATTTCAACTTACAAATGCTCTTCGGGAGACTCACCAACCTTTGGCAATTTTTCAAGTCAATGATTAGGAGACGAGAGAGATATTCGATTGATGAAGGTAGCTCTTTAACTGCTGTTCCCTTTAATGAAAGAAACTTCAGATGTTCCATAGGCTCCAAAATTTCTGGGAAGCATTCAAATTTAGAGCAACCAGTGAGATCAAGTCCCTCAAGACATTTCAACTTACATATGCTTGTAGGGAGACTGACGAGACTTTTGCAATCTTTCAGTCCAATTTCAGTAAGACCAAAGAGACACTCAATTGATGAAGGCAATGTTTCTATTGCTGTCCCATTCAAAAATAACTCTTGTATATCCCTAGGAAGCTCCGAAACCTTGCAAAGTGATGAGCAGCCCTCTATACTAAACCGAAAGGGGAATTTCAGTTTGCAACTGCAGCTTGGAAGATTCTCAAGGTCTTTACAAAATTCGATATCCAGGTGAGAAAGATTTTCGTTTGACCAAACTGATGAAGGCAATTCCTTTATTGCAGTCTCTGACAAATATAAGGTTTTAATGCTGATTGGCAACTCTGGAAGATATTTGAGATTCGAGCATCCTCTCAGCCCAAGAAAACTAAGTTTGTCAAGATATTGAAAATACGAAGGAATTTCAACCAAACTTTTACAGCAACCAAGATTTATATGTTCAATTTTTCGACTCAGAGAGAGATCTGGAATTTCAGTCAGGCGTTTGGAGAAGCTAAAATTGATCACTTTTAAATTCGCAAGTTTCTGTAGAAAGAAAAGAGGAATGACAAAAATGCATAACAAAGCCAAATAATTTCCACACTAAGTTTTTGACAAGAACTAAAATAAGAATATATACCTGGCCTTTACTCCAAAGCTGTTCGACTTGACTGTGGGCCATTTGAATGTTAACGAGATTTTGTGGAGAAAAATTTGATGGAAAATATTTCAAAGGGTATCCCTCCCAGTGAAGATAACTAAGTGTATCGGGAAGAGACTGAAGACCTTCAGGAAGGTACAATTTGCTGCACTTATTGTCCAAGCTAGAAGAATTATAGATCTCCAGTACTCTCAGATTATACATCTTTTTGAAGGCTGCGGGATTCAAGTGTAGCTCTTTAATCTTAGACATATTAAAGAATATGCATTCAACCATTGCAGTTCCCTGACAAACAAAAGACCAGAAGTATAAACGAGGATGCGGTAGACAACAAAATATTCTGAATACTAAACTTGTGGACATCTTACATATTTTTAATCATAAATGAATTACTTCTTGGTGTCTTTCATAGAATTCAAGATTTTTTTTTTTTTTTTATATAGAAAAAGAAAATGAATGCATTTGGCTCTTACTGTATTATTCTTCAATACATGAGAGACATCCTCCTCAATGAATAACCTACTGCGTTTTCCGGGCTCCTCAATACATTGCTCACGAACCATTTCCAGTCCCATTTCTTGTAGTAAATCATGCATTTCTAGGCAGTTCATCTCTGAAATTGAAATGAGAGACTTATCAATGAGAACTTTAATACCTCCCGCAAAAAAACCACGAATATCTAACATTTCTTTTGCAAGACATATATCCATCCCTTTGTAAAAACATGCTATATCAAGAAATATCTCCTTTGCATTTTTTTCTAAACCATCGTAACTTAGTCTCAACACATTCTGAATTTTACGGTTGGGAAACTTTTTCAACTCGTTCAATTGATCTTCCCAGTCTTGTTTGCTCTCGCAGTGAAGGAATAAGGAGCCCAAAATTATAAGAGCTAGCGGTATGCCTCCAGCATAATCGACCACCATTCTTGACAACTCTGCATAATATGACCCCATAGAGTCATTTTTAAAAGCGTGCAAATGAAAGAGCTGAAGAGCTTCATCACAGCTTAATCCCTCAACCTTGAATATCTTGTCAGCATCAGCCATTTTCTTAAGTAGTCGTCTGTCTCTAGTTGTTATAATGATTCGACTTCCTCGACCAAACCGAATATCATCACCAACTAGAAGTTCCAATTGGCTTGAATCATTCACATCGTCAAGAACAATGAGTACCGTTGTACGACTGAGCCTTTCTCGAACAAAACTTCGTCCTATAGATGGAGTGTCAATATTTAGATCTTTTTCGTTTAGTATCTCACGAAGAAGTACATTCCGCAAGTGCTTTAGTCCATGTCTTTCTGACTCCTCCCTCACATTTGGAAGAAAACATGAAGCCTCAAATTTAGAAGTGAGTCGGTGAAAAACAGCTTCAGCAAGGGTGGTCTTGCCAATACCACCCATTCCCCAAATACCCACAGTGCAAACATTTGGTGAATCAATGCATAATAATGATTCAATTTGCTCAATTTGGATTTCAATTCCGACCAGGCCCTTTAAGTTGCTTGACGATTTGTGATTCAATTTGCTCAAAACATCTTGGGCAACTTTCTCAACAAAACCGGCCTCTGTCCTGGAAAATATGATTGTGCAGCACAAACAGTATGTATTTAGTATGCCTTAACAATTCTTGTAGTAGAAACTGATACAAGTTTAGAAGGTTAGTTACCCTGTTTTGTTTGAGGCATCAAACCCAGAGATATCGGCTGCAACCGTCAAAGCAGCCCTCCACTTGAGCACCTTGTCCATACTGTCCTTGAAACGTTGTTCAAGTTGAGCAAATGCATCTCCATAACTCCCCTGCTGTTTTCGTACATGGGATGGATCTATGTTGTAAAAAATGGGCACAACAATCTGTCCGTATCTATCCTTGCATTCTAGTATATGCGCAAGTTCCTCCAAACACCATGTGGAAGAAGCATAGTTTTTCGAGAAAATGACGACCGAAAGCTTTGATTTTTCGATTGCTTCTAGAAGGTTAGGTGCAATTTTATCCCCACTCTCAAGCTTGTAATCAATGTATGTCTCAATTTTCTTCCGAACTAAAGCGGCATAGAGATGGCTGGTGAAAGTATCGCGGGTGTCAACACCTCTGAAACTAAGAAACACATCATATTTTTCTTGACAGGCGACATCCGAATCAGAAGAAGAATCAGCCATCTTATTCATAAACTGCAAACCCACAAGTCAAAGCATCATACTTTCCCCATAACCAATCTCATTTTTGCCAAATTCATACATAATACATATTGATTTTACCATCTTTTCTTTTCAATTACTGAAATAAATTACAACGAAGATCCTCTCCGGATCTTAAACCAGAAATTTGCCATCTTCTTTACTATATTAAAGATGCAACAAGAGATTGTGTTGTCATAGATAACTGTCGGAGGGTAAATAAAAAGTCAAAAATTGCAGGGAGATTAAATGCTAAGTAAGAAACAAATGAAATTAAGGAAGGATGAACTGCACCTCAGCCTCAGGAAATTATTAACAAGTTGAAAGTTGCAGAGGGATTACCTTGATTTCCACTTTCCGGGAAGAGGAGAAGTCTTGTAGTTTGGATGGCTTGCTCACTCATCCTACACCAAACAACCCGTAACTTGAATGGGTCGGGTCGGGTCCCAACTAAATGATATAGTGAAAAGACGTTTTTTTTTTTTTTTTTTTTTTGGAAGAGACAATACTGTAATATTAAGTGGTATGGTGAAACGAGTTGTGACATGTAGCCAAACTCCATCCTCGTCAATGTCGTCATCATGCATCACCATCGCGACTTCATTACGTCGTCGTTAAAAGTCTGGAAGCCCCCCTCTCAGATATTGAGGGGTCAGAGTAATTCTAATTTAGTATTTCTTATCAACTTTACAAATTTATTTTTCCCTCTAATTGTTTTCTTGGCCTATATTTGTTATTTTGGAAGTAGTTTCGAAATGTGATGTATAAGGGCTAGTTTGGCAAGTGTTTTTAAATAAATGAAAGCATTTTTAAAGAAAATGTTTTTGGATTTCAAAAGTACTAATTATGTGTTTTTTGATGGAAGCACGTCAAATGCTTTTCCAGAATTAACTTGTATTTTTATTAAATATTTGGTTTCAAAATCATTTTATTTAAAAACTTTTTCAATTGCTTAAAAACTCTTGCCAAACAAGCCCCAAATAACATCCACCCACAACTAAAAAGGGAATTTTTGAAAAAAAAATTACGATTTGTTGCTTATCTCTTTCAATCCCCACAAAATGCTAAGATTAGGAGGGGTTAATCCCTTTCATGGCCAATCCCTTGTAATCCCTACAAATGAGAAATTATTTGTCTCCGGCTCTTGGTCTTCCCTCATACCTTGAATTATATGAATTTTGCAATTCAACCGATTCCAATGTATCATACGCACGAAACGAGCAATAAGGAGAGTTTACATTTTAAATGACGAAAATTTGGACAGCATGCATACTAGATATCTAACAGAGAACTGATATCTAGCAATAATGTGCTTTTTGTTGGAAACATTTCAAATGTTTTTCCAGAATTAACTTGTATTTTTACTAAAACTTGGTTTCAAAAATATTTTATCTAAAAGCGTTTTCAGTCGTTTAAAAGCATTTGTCAAACGAGCCCTAAATAATTTCCACACACACAAAAAAGAGTGTTTGAAGAAAAAAATCAAGAATTGTGGTTTATCTTTTTCAATCCCCAGAAAATGCTAGGATTAGGAAGGTTAATTTCCTTCATGGCTAATCCCTTCTAATCCCCCTTCAAATGAGAAATCACTTGGACTCTCGGTCTTCCCTCATACCTTCAATTATATGAATTCTGCAATTCAACAGATTCCAATGTATCATATGCACGAAACGAGTCATAAGGAGAGATTATACATCTAAACTACTATTAATAGAACCTTGGTTGTCAAAATAGTGTAACAATTTATTACATGCATACTAGATATCTAACAGGGAATCGAATATCATTTGTGAGGTACATGACCAAATGGGAATCGAATATCTAACAGATTTTCCTCTGCAAACTAATTAGCTCTTCAATATGCGAATTACAAATATAATTTTCACCAAAATTTTTACAAGTAATTAGATTGAAGCCATTCAACTTCTAACAGAAACCTATCATACTTATCACTCCTATTTCTTATATTTAAAAGAAGAATATCACTTCCACTCCAATATTGCTATAGTAGAATTATTGTGAATATATTAAAGAAGAAAAAAATAAATATACAATAAGCTAGAGGGGACATGAAATAATACCCTAACAAAAAGGTAAAAAACTATTAGAAACAAAAAACAATTAAGACAACTCTTAAGAGAAATGAAAATTTGGAAGTCCTACAAGATTATAGCAAAACCCATAACTGGACACAATGGACAAGAATCTCACCATTGAACCCCAACATGATCAACACCATAGTTTGCCAAACAAACCACCAGCTGATTTCTTTTTCAACAAATGTGAGAAAATAAAATATGCATGGAAGAGAGAATAATACAACAATTTTTCCAATCAACCAATAAACAACAAGGCACCCTGAGAAGATCCATTAGAGAGAAGACGCATAGAGAAAATGCATAGAGTAAAATTCTCTATCTTCCTTACCACACCTCTCATTCCTCGCCTCATCTTCCAAACCCTTCCTCGACCGCCTCTTCAATTCCACCTACTCCACCAATTTCCCCTCTTCCAACGTCGCCCTTCTTCTCTGTTGCAGCCATATCAAAGGCTTTTCTCCTCATCCTCCTTCCTCCATATGTAATACTTGGTGGGTCTATTTTCTGAGCCAAGTCAGAGCTTTCTTCAGCAAAATCATCGATTAGTAGCAATGTGATTAAGAATCAGTATTCTAGTAAGGAATCACAACCAAAATTGAAAAGCTTTAGTATTCTTCAGAAAATCTGAGAAAACTAACCCGTGTTTTAAATAAAGTACTTGATGATGATAATTTAGTCCCACTTGGTGATGTATCGCCTCGAGAAATTGGTTCATGAGTTGATAGTGATTTGTGATAAATTCTATGAATACGCGCATTTGTGTACGTTCTGATTATTTCAGTAGTCACTTTGTGTTGACAAGTTTCTGGGCTTTATATGGGGCTAGATGGAGCCTAACTTTTTGCTACCCAAGAATTGAAATTGCTGGTATTTGATAAAATATGATTTCATTTCATAAGGGAATAATGTTACACTTTTAGTATTTATATACAAGTATCTTGTAACTACTAAGGAAAACAAACACAACAAACTAACAGATTTCTTAACAATTAAGTAATATCTGTAGATGGTGTATTTACAATATTGCCCTTTATATCCCCCCTCAAACTAAACTGAGGGACTTGAAGTCGAAGTTTACCATGGAGGAACATGAATCTTGACTTGGAAAGAGACTTGGCACTAATGTCAGCCACCTGATCTTAAGTACAAATAAAATGCACATAAATCTGTTTTGCCAAGACTTTTCCCCGAATGTGATGATAGTCTATTTCCACATGCTTTGTCCGAGTATGGAAAAATAGGGTTCTTGGCAAGGGATATGGCAGAAATGTTGTCACACCATAGTTGAGGAGAACTAGGCAAGCAATGGCCAATATCAACCAACAGTTTGCATATCTAGGTAATCTCAAACGCAGTGCTGGCAAGAGATCTATACTGGTCCTTTGTGGAAGATCGTGCTATAGTTGGTTGCTTTTTAGCACTCCAACGAATCAACGAATTTCCCAGAAAAACCCAATAACCTCCAGTGATCTTCTATCTAGAGCATAATCGGCCTAATCAGCATCTAAGAAAGCTGTGATGGTGGGAGTGGTGGAACACTTGGAAAAGAACCATAAACCAAGATCAATAGAACCCTTAAGGTACCTTAGGATTCGCTTAACTGCCGGAAAGTGTGAAATTATTGGGTTATGCATGAATTGGCATACAAGGTTGACTGCAAAACTGAAATCTGGTCTTGTCCATGTAAGATATTGAAGAACACCAACTACTGAACGATACTCAGAAATATTTTCAAGTAATGGAGATTCATGATCAAGTTTAGGGATGTTGAGTGGTGTACCGCAAGGTTTGGCCCCAGTCATGTTGGCTTTGGATAACAGGTCCAAGATATATTTGGTCTGAGATATGAATATGCCTGATGATGATCTTTTAACTTCAAGTCCAAGAAAATAATGGAGAGGTCCAAGATCTTTGATTGGAAACATGGAGCTAAGTTGCTGAATCACTTTTTGACAGGCTGCAGAATTGGGACATGTGACCAAAATGTCATAAACATAGAATAGAATGAAAACCACATCTGGAACCTTTTTGATAAATAGAGAACGGTTACTGTTAGAGCCTACAAATCCAAGAGAGTGAAGAGCACCATAAAGCTTCTCATACCAAGTTCTTGGAGATTGTTTTAAACCGTACAAGGATTTATGCAACTGACAGACATGAAATGGCTTAGTTGAATCTTCAAAACTAGGAGCCTGTTGCATGAAAACTGGTTCAGTAAGTATACCATGTAAAAAGGCATTGCCGACATCGAGTTGGTTTAAAAACCAATCATATTAAGCTGCAATAGTGAGTAGAAGCTTAATAGTAACTAGTTTGACTACGGGATTGAAGGTTTCAATGTAGTTTAGACCTTCCTGTTGATTGAATCCTTTCACAACTAGCGGGGCTTTGTACCTGTCTGTAGTTCCATCGAGCTTTCTCTTGATTCGAAAACCCATTTGCATCCTATAATATTCTGTGATCAAGACTTAGGGACAAGAGACCATGTGCCAATGTTGATAAGGGCATTGACTTCTTCTTGCATTGCTTGGCTCCAATGAGAGAACTTTGAAGCTTGAAGGTAAGTTGTAGGTATATAATCCACTGAGAGTTGAGAGGGTAGGAGGTGTTTAGTGGCAGTGAGGGCTTTAGACTTGAAAATGCTAGACTTGGACCTTGTTTACGTTGAATGAGTGTTGATGGGTTGGATAGGGTTGGTGGTGATGGGTTGTGAGATTGCCATTGAAGAGCTTGAAGTTATATTGGTGGAATTGACAGGTGAATTGGTAGGTTGAATAGAGGAAGATGAATGAGGTGAGGTTAAATTGGTATGAACAGGTGCAAGAGAAGAAGTAAATGTAAAGGTAAAGATGGATGAAATGGTTGATCTTGAACTAGTTTTAAATTTGGAGAAGTAGGTGAAGAGGTTGATATATGGTGAAATGGGAAGCTTGATTCATTGAATAGAACGTGCCTGGAGATATGCATTTTGTTGGTTGCAGGATTAAGGCACTTGTAACCCTTATGATTCAAACTGTAGCCTAGGAATACACATGCCTTACTCTTGGGATCCAACTTTGAGGAAAAAAATTGTAGTTTGGTGCTCGATGATACAGAGATTCCCAAGGAGATGATCTTGATGCAGTGGACAATTTGTTAATAAGATAGATTGTTATGTGAAATGCCTCAACCTAGTAGATGTGAGGTACTTTAGAAGCTGCCAAAAGAGTGTGAGCAGTGTCAACTAAATGGCGATGCTTGCATTTTGCATACCCATTTTGCTCAGGGGTGTGGGGGCAAGTGAGTTGATGTTGAATACCATGTGTAGCCAAGAAAGTTGAGAAAGGAGTACTCAAGTACTCTCCACCAGAATCAAACCTTAGAGCAACAATCTTTGTGCACAGAGAGTTTTCAACCAGAGACTTATATTGCATAAAAGTGGACAGTACATCAGAGTTGCATTTCAAAGGATAGAACCAGCAATATCGAGTATAGTCATCCACAAAAATGATAAAGTACTTAAAACCTTAAGAATAAGCTATAGGTGATGGTCTCCAAACGTCTGTGTGAATGTGTTCTAGATGCTTGCTAGTTGTACAATTTTCTAAGACAAAAGGAAGCCTAGAACATTTTCCTAATGCACAATCTAAGCAAAATGACTAATTTATATGAGATAAAACTGAAATACAAGATTGAGAGGCAAGCTTATTGATAATCTTGATAGAGGGGTGACCCAATCGTTGGTGCCAAACATCTCTTGAAAGTGCTTTATGATGACCAATTGTAGAAGAGGAGAAAAGGAATGGATAAAAACTGTGCTAGACAGGTCTTTTAAAACGCATCATCCCCGAATAAAGATCATTCACAGTGAAGTGAGAGAGATAAAGATGCAGAAAATATTGATTATCAATCAAAAATTGATTTACAGAGAGAAAATTATGTTTCAAATCAGGCTCGTATAGGACTTTATTGAGTTTAAAAGCACTAGTAGAAGTATTCAAAACAGTAGAGCCAGAGTGAGTGATGGGCAAACATTTTCCATCACCAATGTACACTTGTTCGAACTAGTTTAAGCTTCCGGATTTTGCAAAGTTGCATAAGAGTTGGTCATGTGTGAGGTGGCATCGGAGTCCATAATCCAAGTAGGATTTGAAGATAAGGCGTTGGCAACCATTGCTGAATTAGAGGGTTTTCCACCATAGGCTGGAGCAGAGAGAGCACTCTAGGTCAAGTAACTGGTGGTGGTGAGCTTGATTGGCACCATGGATCCAATGTTTTGGATCGTGATTGAGGCAGAGATTGAAGAATTAGGGTTTGGAGGTGCAGTTGGAAGAGGATGAACTGGAGACGCCAATTCAGAGGAAGGAGATGCAGAGGTTGCCATTGGCAAAGATTGATGATTGAAGATCGAAGAACTCAAACACGATTGAAGAATCAATCAAGAGATCAGAGAACAAGATCGCAAAAAGAAGCGAGAAGGTTTGGATTGAAGGGAGTGAAGTCGTGAGAACAAAAGGCCAGTGATACCATATTTGATAAAATATGATTTCATTTCATAAGGAAATAATGTTACACTTTTAGTATTTATAGACTAGTATCTTGTAACTACTAAGGAAAACAAATACAACAAACTAACAGATTTCTTAACCACTAAGTAATATCTTTAGATGGTGTAGTTACAATATTGCCCTTTATAGCTAGCCCATGTGGTGGATGTAATCCCATTTTCCAGCCCATTGGGGATGAAATTTTTCGTTAGAGCTACAAATGTGGTAGCTTCAAGGAGGATAAAGCCTCCATTGGGAATGCTCTTACAAACTTACAATGGCCATAAGACTAGAAGAGTTTGTTTCTTAGAAAACCTCAGCTTATGTAAGCCAACATGACGTGCATATTCCAGAGATCAGCGCGAGGGAAACATTTGATTTCTCTGCGTGTTGTCAAGTTGCAGGAAGCCGAGCTGGTAAGCATTCTTGCCTTGCCTGCAATAGAAGAGTGAGTTCAGATATTGTAACCTATCACATTGGTTGTCATTTATGTTTTTTTGGTGCATACAGGGATAATTATGGAAGTCAGTAAAAGGGAAAAGCAGACAGGAACATGCTGCTATAGTGTTCGGAATGGGTTATGTCACAAACTCTTTTATTATTCATGTCAAAAAGGGGAAGGTTTGCACCTTTACTCAAACAAATGCCTTCTAAATTTTGTTTCTCTTTAAAGGGAGGCTTGATTGATTGGGATTCTTTGAACCACAACTCCATTGTCAATAGCGCAAGAGGATATGGTGCTAGAGTTCGTGTTTTCGAAGTTCCAACAGAGTGGTAAGTTAGTTAAAATCTCTCTCTATTTCTCTCCTATTGCATGTGGGTTTTCCCCCTTTCCCCTTTTCTCTTTCTGTTGGTCTAATTTCGGGCAAAGTTGTTGAATTTTGGTTGAATTGGAATGTGGGTTGAATTGGTTTTCCTTTCGTTTGTTTGTTGATGATTTGTAATGTGAAGCTTGAAAGGTTTTCAATTTGATTTTGGTTGGATTGGCATGTGGGTTAATTGGGTTTGTCTTAGAGTTTCTACGTTAAGTTCTTCAATTCCTTTATTTTTCACTTTGCCTTTTTTCTAATGATTTTTACGTATAAATTTGCAGTAAAAGCCATGGATTTGATTGTTAAGCCCTCACTCACTCTCTACGAATTGATCTAGACAAAGCCAGAAGACGAATGCTAAATTCAACGTTGTTCAAGTCGGAATATTGATGAATGCCTAAACTTTCGTACTTCAACGGATTCATTATTCTTATTTGGTCATAAATTTTTGTATTGAGCCCATTTCCTCTACTCCTGTTTTTCTAGGATTTAGGCTTTTGTCATTTAGGCATACTTGTCTTATAATTGGCATTACTTGCCAAATGGAAAGGGTCTGCAATCTGTCTGTCTTCCTTTTTTTGTTTTGTGTGAGTTGAATTCAACATTTTCATTTTTCTCACCTGTTCTTTTTCTGTGAGCTGAATATTTAGTAGAAGATGGAATTCTATGCGCTTGCTCCTATTGCGCACGTGTCGGTCGTCGAAGAAAGGGAAGGGTTTTCCATTTGCTTCCCAGAAATCTCTCCAGTTCTCTGTTTCAGAAACTAGAGACTACAATATCGCCTTGCTCAAAAACCACGAACCCAGTATAAATCTCTTCAGTACTCTCTCCCAGAAACCACGAATAACAACGTTCTCTTCCTCAACAAAAGCTAATCCGGTCCTGATTCGAAGAAAATTTTAAACCCAGAAAAGGTTGGGTTTCCTGGTGAGTTTTCCGGCCAATTTGGGTCCGTTAATTTTGCGATTGCAGTTTATTTTTGGGAATTGATTGATGGTTTTGGTTTCAGGAGTGGGCTGCGTCTGATCTCTGGTTTGAATTAACCTTGCCGTTTTCGTTATTAGCACAGTGAAAGGTCGGTATTTCTAACACTTTTGTTTCCTTTTTTGTGTATGTTGGTGCATGTTTCCTCTCCCGTTTTCTTTCTTAGAAAGCTAAACCACCGTTGCTCTCAAGTTGTCTCTCGCCGATCTCCTCTTCTTTGCACCTCCTCCGAAACACCTCTGTTAAAATTCAACCCCAATTGTATTTTCTCTCTCATTCTCCGCATTTCAGAAGATTTCAGTTTTTCGCCTTTGTAAGCGATATGTCTCTGAAAGCACCATAATTTTGTGTTTAATTTTGCTTGTTGTGTTTTGAATTTGAATTGGTAGCCTGATCTTCCAGTGGATTTACAACATCCGAATTTGCATTTGTGTATGTAAGGACCACAATCCATCCAAATTCTGCATTTTTCCAATAAATTGTGAGAAAAATGAATTATGAGGAAATTATGAGAGATCGTGTCAGGCTTTGGCCATGAAATTCCCCGTACAGGTGATTAATCATTTCCCAATTTGGTTGATGAGAAAGTAATTGAAAAAGATGTTTTTTTTTTTTTTGTTTATTTGTTGGTTGATTTGCGTATGGAGTATGGAGTATGGACTATGTATTAATTTATATTTTTTGGGGAATTTTGTATACAGAGGTCGTTACTGGCTGAGATTACTGTGAGTTCAACATTTGTTTTTCTTATGATTTCTAGGCTTTTTGATTAAAAATGTTAGCTTCAATACCTTGGTATATGATCGAGTACAAGATTGAGGTAATGACACCAATAGAATCTGGGATTATAGTAACTAACTCTTACTTCGTTCTTTATCATAGCATTATAGATTCGAATTGGATTTGGTGCTGTTGTCAGTTGAATTTTTTTATATGTATAGATATAAAATATTTATTACCTGTGTAAAATATAATTGGATGATAATTCGGCGTTGGGTCGTTGTATATCATGCTTCTGTTGCTCATCACCTATGGGAACCCTATCACTCCGAGGGCACAAGACAGATAATTTTTTCATTCAGTTTTTATCTGGGTATTTTTTGTGGCTGCCATTGTGTGATGATCCAGGTAAAAAGTTTGATTTTATTTTTTATTTTTACAGGCTATAGTTAATGTTGACGCTTTGCTGAAGAAGTATGGGGCTGACATTACGGTTATGGGTATGTTTACTGATGAAAATTGATCGCTCTGTTTTTATATTATTTTTTACAGTGTCGAAACCAGGCATTATATATAGAGTTTTTACCGATCTAACAAGTTGTTGGTAATTTGCAGTTTTCAAGACTGGTGCTTCAAATTGTGCCTTCAGGATCAGCTTATGCAAAGTTTGTGAAATACCAAGGTCATTATTTTGTCAGTATATAAATTCATACTCTTGCTGGCTTCTAGGCCTACTATTTGAATTTCTATCATAAGTTCTGTGTTTACTTTTTTTCATTCGAGTAAACACATGACCATATGATTTAAAATGCAAAGAGAGACGATGAACTGTTTTTGATATTTTATTTCTCTTGGTGGGTTTAGATTTGGGCCTTTTTAAGTTGGATTCATGAGTTTTGCTTAAGATATGATTTTTGGGTTATGAATGATCTGCCAATGCTAAAGTTTGCATTTTTTTGCGTGGTTGGAATCATGGGTTTTGATTAAGCTTTCAGGTAATGGCATTTCCAAAAAGTAAAATTTTGCATCTTTATTTAAGGCTTTTAAGCTAAGAATTCAGCTTTTGGGTTGCCTTGAGATCAGGATTTATAGAAACGCTTTTCAGATTCTGGGAAGGTCTATTGGTTGGGCTGATAGCGTGTCTAAAATTTCTGTTCTGTTATTAAGCTTTGTGATCGTGTATGTATTGGTTGTTTTGTTTCTTCAACTTGTGTGATTAAAAGGGACCCTTTTGAAATTATGTGAAAATCTATATTCTGGATGAATCTAATTAGTTAAATTTGTAATGTTTAAGTTATGTTAGAAATCTAATTGCTGAAATTTGAGTCTTTTTCTAAGTTAAGCATTTAGTTACTGAATTGCTTGAAATTAGTATTTAAAGAATTTTTTTTTGTAGAGCAGGTGTTTTAGCCCAATTTGCTAAAAAAATTGTTTATTTTTAAGTTAATTATGTATGAATTACTTGGAAATGTTCATATGAATTTGGTATGAACTTCAATAGAACTTATATCTGCATGTTGAATTTGGTGAAAACAGAACCCAACAATTCCACTTCAGTTGTTATTTCTTAATGAAAGAAACTAATACAATAGTTAAGGGTCCCTTTGGGACCCGATTCTGTGCGGGTTAGAATTATTTCCTTAAACTATAGGTACCAAAATGTTCGGGAGATCTACTAAGAAGAGGAAAGTGAGTGAAATGGGAATGACATCGACGTTGATGATGAGGATGACTACTGTGCAACGAGTCAATCTGAAAGTGAGTGAAACGGGAATGACATCGACGTTGTCTGGAGAAAAGTTTTGCTCCAGACATTCCCAAATAGCTTGGGATGTGGCAAGACCAACAATCTGAGAGAGAACAGGTTCCGTAAAAGTCGCACGAAGTAAATTGGGTAACTTGAATCATGTCTTGTTCCTTCGAGCCGTTGTTATGTTTCTTGGACTTCCGTTCAATTCGGTTGGGTGGATTGGAACTGAGTTCTGTTTGGATTCCGTTGAGTGATGGTCCGGAATCCCCTTTGGAGCCTTGGTCCGTTGTGCAGTCCAAAATCCCCTTTTCCAAAGATGTAGTCTTCAACTGAATTGTGTTGCTCTAGCCTTGCGTTTCGACTTGTTGTATGTGTTATTGATGATGTGATGGTTGACATTATTGATTGATGTGATTGTGGAATGACGTTGGATATGAGTGGAGTTATCATGAGTATTTTAGTTGATTAATGTTTCTAGAGATTAATATGTTCTTTGTTAACTCTTAAATAGGTTACTCGCTATGAAACGCGAATTTATGTGGGAAACGTGAGGAATTTATGTGAGGGTTGAAGTGGGATATGTTAATCGTCATGTGGGATCGTCATGTGGGATTGTTATGTTGGATACCATGGTTATTGTTATGACTAGACTTGTTGATAAATGTGGCTAGAGAATGGTATTATACATCGTTGGTTCTTTGAAATGATATATGTTGTGAATTGCGGTATCATGTTGTGACATAATGGCCTATATATTGATGGAGGGGAAATCATGATTTTCAGATGGGTTGTTATGTAACCCTGAGTCTAGTATTTTCATGCTTGTCAAGTTCTATTGACTGATTGAGAAATGTTATACCTTTCGACTTAATCGGACTGTGTTATATGTCAATTATTGTGCATGACGAACTACGAATGGCTTGATCCCTGTCTAGGGTACGTAGGCAGTCTAACAGGGAGGTTAGATGCAGCCATAAAGCATACGAAAATAACTATGTGGTTCGATTATTGGGTTGTGCTTGGCCATATCCCGGAGGTGGGATATGATAGATACGGATTTTTGTTGACGCCACGTGTCAATTCTGGACGTATGTCGGGATTGGGGCGTGACAATATTGGTTGTTTTGTTTCTTCAAATTGTGTGATTAAAAGAGACCCTTTTGAAATTATGTGAAAATCTATATTCTGGATGAATCTAATTAGTTAAATTTGTAATGTTTAAGTTATGTTAGAAATCTAATTGCTGAAATTTGAGTCTTTTTCTAAGTTAAGCATTTAGTTACTGAATTGCTTGAAATCAGTATTTAAAGAATTTTTTTTGTAGAGCAGGTGTTTTAGCCCAATTTGCTAAAAAAATTGTTTATTTTTAAGTTAATTATGTATGAATTACTTGGAAATGTTCATATGAATTTGGTATAAACTTCAATAGAACTTATATCTGCATGTTGAATTTGGTGAAAACAGAACCCAACAATTCCACTTCAGTTGTTATTTCTTAATGAAAGAAACTAATACAATAGTTAAGGGTCCCTTTGGGACCCGATTCTGTGCGGGTTAGAATTATTTCCTTAAAATATAGGTACCAAAATGTTCGGGAGATCTACTAAGAAGAGGAAAGTGAGTGAAATGGGAATGACATCGACGTTGATGATGAGGATGACTACTGTGCAACGAGTCAATCTGAAAGTGAGTGAAACGGGAATGACATCGACGGTGTCTGGAGAAAAGTTTTGCTCCAGACATTCCCAAATAGCTTGGGATGTGGCAAGACCAACAATCTGAGAGAGAACAGGTTCCGTAAAAGTCGCACGAAGTAAAGGTTTGACTTGACCTTCCCATGGAAGGTAGTTGGTATGTGTTTGTTTGACAGAAACAAGGGTGGCAATGTTTGGAGTAGGAGGAAGAGAAGAAGAGGAAGAAGCAGCCATGAGGGAAAGCACTAGGGATTCCAAGATCGAAAATTACTCAAATGTACATGAGTACAATATTTATACATGAACTGTCCTCATAACCATCGTAGATTACTTACAACATAAATGACAAACGAATTACATAACGGAAAGTGGATAAAAAGAACTTGTAACAAAATAAAGTACAAAGAAATTGCAGAACGAAAAGCGGTTACAAAGAACTCATTCAATAGACGATTAAGAGGGCAACTCCCTAGCAGCTTCCATTTGCTTCCTCTGACTCATCACTTCCACTTTCGTCCTCGGAGTCATCGCTTCCACTTGCTTACTCGGATTCATCGCTTCCACTTTCTTCATCAAGAGCCATCTCTTCCACTTGCTTCCTCAGATTAGTTGTTTCCACTGGCTTCAGGATCAACACTCCCACTTGCTGCAGACTCATCTTGTTCTTGTCGCGAAATGACATCAAATTTTAATTTCTCTGCATCTTCGGCATACAACAGGCATATTCCACAATTTTCAACCGTATAGTTGTACCGGAAAGGCTTCGTTTCGAAGTGAACAGAGACCTCAGTGACACGACAGTAAAAATCCGAGGACCATTCTGCTCCCTCTTCATATTCAAGGTCTTTATACAATACGAACACGTGCTTTGACTCTAAATTGCAACCATCACTACCATCACCCATGCACGGGACAAAGACAGGACAATCGATTCCATGACTTTCACCCTCTTCGGTTTTGAAATTGTACTTGCACTCAAACTGCATACCTGATAGATCTTGACGTCCGGATGCGACAACAGATGGAGCGAATCCCAAGAAACCTTCTCCCGATTGATCTTGGTGTCCGGATGCCACAACAGATACAGCGAATCCCAAGAAACCTTTTCGAAACCAGTTTGCAGGAAGCTTGACATTTATTGAAGCACCCTCATTTTGATGTACGAACCAATTTGGAATTTCGCATCCCGGACATACAATTGTAACTAAGGGCTCAGAAAACTTTTGCTGCAACATTAATTGACATCATGTTACTTAACACAGAGAGACAGAGAGAGAGAGAGAGAGAGAGAGAGAGAGAGAGAGAGAGAGAGAGAGAGAGAGAGACATACGTAATCTTCCTTTTCTTCTTTGAACCTTGAAGACGCAGTTGCCACTCGCATGATTCTAAGCTGTGCATCAACCATTATGCTGCTTCTTGCATCAGCATCATAACCCAACCTTCCGCAATTATAAAAGTGAAGTCGCTCTTGAAGCAATTGATATCTATTCCAACATTGCGTAATTGCAGTCATTGAACTTGAAACTGTCATCAGTGACTTGCACCCATCTGCTTGAAGAAGACTTAGCACTGGGAGCTCTGGTAAAGATTCAAGGCTCATGCACTCGATTAAGAAGAGGAAAGACAGCTGAGGAGCTTGTTTGATGGTTGAGGGTACGCTCCGAATTTTGGTTCGATTCAGATTAATACTCAATAATGAGGTTGAGCAAATGAGATCCTCAGGGATTTGTAAAATTCCGCTATCACCGAGGTCTAGTTCTTCAAGAGAAAGCAAACCAACTGAGCCAGTCGGTTGAGGAAAATTTTGAAGTTTCCAACAGTCATTAAAGCTGAGAGTTTTAAGATTTGTTAAGTTGTAGATGCTGCTTGGGACAACTTTAAGTTTCTTGCACCGACCAAGATCCAATGTTTGAAGGCCAACTAGATTTCCAACCGACTGGGGAAGCTCTTCAACTGCTGTCCCTTCTAAACGAAGAAACTCCAGGTGTTCCATTGGCTCCAATATTTCAGGGAATTTGTAAAATCTAGTGCAACCTGTGAGATTAAGTCGCTTAAGAGATTTCAACTTACAAATGCTCGACGGCAACTCCTTTATGCCACTGCCTCTTAAACGTAAGATTTCAATGTTGCCTGGCATGTCTGGAAGATACTCGAGACTCTTGCACCATGAAAGATCAAGATAAGTAAGCTTGTCAAGATCTTTAAAATACGAAGGGATTTCAACCAAACTTTCACATCCGCAAAGATCTATGTGCTCAATATTTGGACTCCCCAAGAAGTTTGGAAGTGCAGTTAGACATTTGGAATAACGAAGTTTGATCACTTTTAAGTTCATAAGATTCTGTAACAAATTAAAGACAAACGGTAAGAATTAACAACTTAATCTGAATAAGTTCTACACACTAGTATCTTTCACAAAATCTATAATAAACACATATACCTGGCCTCCATTCCAAAGTTGCGTGACTTGGCTGTCCGGCATATGAAGCTCAACAAGATTTTCAGGAGAAAATTTTGGGGACAAAGTTTTCAAAGGATATCCCTTCCAGGAAAGATAACGAAGAGAGTTGGGAAGAGAGAGAGAGAGGTTTAATTTGCAGTACTCTCTAGAACTGTCAGCATTTTGCCACATAGAATCTTTCAAGCACAAGCTAGAATTATCAACATTGAGCAATCTCAGATTATACATATTTTCGAAGTCTGCACGATCCAAGTTTTGCTCTCCAATGCTGGACTCGTTAAAGAATATGGCTTGAACCTTTTCCGTACCCTGACAATAAACAACAAAGCATAAATGTGAACACATTAACATGCAACAAAATTCAATCAAAACTACATTTGTAGGAATATGACTTATTTATTGTAATTGAGTTTTCTCTAGTTGTCTTCTCATAGGAAGTACACGGTGTCATATTCATCTCTTTCTTTTCTTTATTGTTTAAAAGGAAAAGTGAATGCAATTGTGGCTCTTACCGTGTCATTTTTCAATACATGATAGACATGCTCAGCAATGAACAGCCTACTCCGTCGTCCAGGCTCTTCAATACATTGTTCGAGAACAATTGCCCGACCCGTTTCTTGTACCAAATCATGCATATCTATGGTTTCCCATTCCGAATTAATCGATATGAGAGACCGATCACGGAGAACTCTAATTCCATCTGCCGCACATAAACCACCATGCATTTGGCCAAAACTTGCCATTTTTTTTACATCTTCAATATGATACCCTTTATAAAAGCATGCTATATCAAGAAATATCTCCTGCTCATGTCTTCCTAATCTATTATAGCTTAATCTGAACGTATTTTGAATTTCTTCATTGGGATAATTTTTCAGTTTTCTCAATACATCTTCACACTCGTCTATGCTCTGACATGGAAAGAATAAGGAACCCAAAATTTCAAGAGCCAGTGGAATGCCTCCAGCATATTCTACCACCCTTTCCGACAACTCCATATATTCTGCTGTAGGAGGGTTATCGTTGAAAGCATGAAGTTGAAAGAGCCGAAGAGCGTCATCAGTTTTTAATTTCTCAACCTCATATATATATTTTTTATCACTAACAGCTTTCAAGAGTACGCTCAATTCTCTACTTGTTACAATGATTCTACTTCCATCGCCGTACTGAAGATTATCTGCAGCTATATCTTTTATTTGCCTTGAGTCAGTAACATCATCAAAAACAATGAGAACCTTTGTACGGCTGAGCCTTTCTCGAACAAAAGTTGAATCTATGGAGAGATTTTCTTCCTTTAAGATCTCTTTAAGAAGTGCCTTTTGCAATTGATCGATTCCATCTCTTTGCTCTGATTTCTCCCTAACATTGTAAAGAAAACAACAAGCTTCGAAGTTAGAAGAGAGTATCTTGAACATAGCCCTGGCAAGGGTGGTTTTTCCAATACCTCCCATACCCCAAATGCCTACAGTGCAAACATCTAGCGAATCATTAATGCTCAATAATGATTCAACTTGCTCGATGCGGCTTGTCATTCCAACCAAGCCCTTTAAATCATATGCGGTTTCACGTTTCAATTTAGTTGAAATATCTTCCACAACTTCTTCAATGAAATCAGCATCCGTCCTGCAAAATATGAATATGAATGACAATCAATATATGGTAAGTATTACCTTCGCTAGTCTATAAGAATTGTTTAAATCAGATAGTCATAAATAGAAATTAGTTTTTACTAAAGCCCAATTTAAAAACAATGTACACGCACAGTGTATTGACGTTTTTGCCTCTATTTCATAGTTTAACTTTTTTTTTTTTTTTTCATTTTGCACAGGAAAATTACTAATATGCCCTTTGGCCCCGCCGTTATCGATTTGGCCGACGTGTGGGTCATTTGATATTGCTTTCTTCCGGTGTCGTTCCCTCCTTTGGATGAGAGATTTTTCAATGTAATCGGTATATAGGGTGGTACACCACGTTTTATTATTCAAATAATGAGATATGTGTGCTAAAAAGTTAATAACTTCAAAAATAAAATTTTTCACCATTTTTATTAAAACACATAATGTACCACTTGTATTCAGTAAGGTATACACAAAGACTATAGGATTAGTGTAAGAGAGTTTTAATGAAACACTTTTGGTATTGTTTGCTATAGGATTAGTATAAGGTATACACAAGGGCTATAGGATTAGTACAATGAAGCATTGGAGGAAAAAAAAAAATAGGGTAAATTGTTTTTTTTCATTTGAATAACAGTTTGCTTGATGATGAGGCGATTCATTTCCCAAGAAAAAAGATGATTTTGTATGGGGTTTTCAGTAAGGTATACACAATGTCTATAGTATTAGTATAATGAAGCATTGGAGGGAAACAAATAGTGTAAATTTTTCATGGTGTATAAGATAATTTGATGAATCGGTCATGGTTTAGAATTTTATCAAATAGCTTTATATTTGTATTGACTATGGATAAGTTACATCAGAATTTTGTCAAATAGTATTATATTTGCATTGACTATGGATAAGGTACAATCTGCCTCATTTCCCAAAAAGCAATATTTTCATGGCACTTTGGTCAGATAGATATCAAAATAGTTGTTTGCTTGAGCTGCTTGGCAGAAGCTTTCCAGGTCTCTCAACTCCTTTTCAGGCGGAGAAAATTGAGTTTTTGTTAGGTTTTGACTGTTAAGCACGAGTAATGTTGTCCTAACAAAAGCTTTCTTTGGAGGGAAACAAATGAAAAAGGTTTTGAGACTCCCATATTTGAGATATGTATTGGTTTGGAAGATTATACTTTGTTCGTAAATTTGAATCTTTTAAGCACTTTGTTGGATACAAATGGTTGTAGTAATATTTTCAAAATATTTACCATATTAGTGGAATTTATATGTTAACCAACTTTTGTTGTAACCCATAACATCGCGCGGTACCTGCTAGTTAAAGTCTATCTAATCAATATCCATTCCTATAAGAATAAAAAAATAAAAATTGAAAAGAAATAGTCACAAATAGAAATTGACACCAAGTTGCAAAGTATGTTACCCTTTTTTGTTTGAATAATCAGACCCACATAAACCGGTTGCTTCCACCAAAGCAGCTTTCCACTCGATCACCTTATCCATACCGTCCTTGAAACGATTTTCAAGTTCAGCAAATGCATCTGCATAACTCCCCTTTTGTTTTCGCACATCTGATGGACTGATGTCGTAAAAAATGGGTACAACCATCTGGCCATTTTTCTTTTTGCATTTGAGTATATGCGCAAGTTCAATCAAGCACCATGTGGAAGACGCATAGTTTTTGGAGAAAATGATCACCGAAAGCCTTGATTTCTCTATTGCTTCTAGGAGGGTGGGTCCAATTTCATCTCCTCTCTTCAGCCTGTAGTCTATGTAGGTTTCAATTTTCTTGCGAAGTAAGGCAGCATGAAGATGGCTGGTAAAATTTTTGCGGGTGTCCTCGCCTCTGAAACTAATAAACACATCATACTTTTCTCGAAGAAGGGGCATATCAACATCATCATCGTTATCATCAACAGCAGCATCAGCAGCACCAGAAGAAGAAGTCGAGGAAGAAAATGTCAATGATCTGCAGTACATGTACAACAGAGTCCCAATGGCGATGAGGATGATGTTGAAAACTTGAAAGAACCCAATCAACTCCATCCCTCTATCTGTTAGAGAAGAGAATGAAGCAATCAAAGCGAGAGTATTTGATTACAGAGAGCAGAAAGAGAATCTGAACTATTCTTGCATTTGAGACTATATCAGATTTTAGTACAGAAAAATTGAAATTGTACTAGTTCTTGTTGAGTATGTGCATAAAGTTACAAACACACCAGCTGAGGACAAAAATTAAAAATTTGGAGAGACAGGAACTAGTCACCTAGGCTACAAGTATTTGATAATGCTACAACATTAAAATTTTCTTTCAGATATGCTTAATTAAAAGAAAATTTTGTCCAAAACACACTCTGTAAGGCATCTTTCAATAAATTATACGTACAAACGACAATCCAAAAAAACCATAAAAAATAAAAAGACGAAATTGCTTAAGCATAATCGGCGTTGAAATTGTTTGCATTCAAACGGAAGCAAACGTTACAATATATCCTAGTTGAGGGCTTTAACAAATAAAGGTGAAATTAAGAATGAATGTCCCACCTCCTCCTCTATGCGAGGGAGTGCCCGGTGCTACTGGACAATTTCTACTCTATACAAACAAATCTAATCTGTACATTGTTTTTTAAAGCCTTGGGTCCACATTTATATTCAAATGTTAAATTCAGTAATATGTCCCAAATCAAATTTGGCCGATAATTAACATAATACTAGATAATAATATTCGTGCGTTGCTGCAGGATTAAAAATTATGTAGATAATTATGTTTGAAAAGTCATCGAAGTTGAATCTAGTGTAATGAGTACATGGATAACCTTTGAATAGTGTTAAAGTTGAACGAATAAATGCATTGATAACTTTGTAAAAGTGCTTAAATTGTAGGTAATAGATTTTGAATTTAGGATTGATAAAGGCAAAAAATGGTAGAAGAGGAAAGTCAAATTTCCAATCAATTATGTAAAAGCATTAGAGACAGATTATAGGTAGATATTGAATATATTGATCTGCAACTAATTGATTATGTAAAGAAAGTTATTGCATGATTGAAATAATAGTATAATATCTTAAAACAAAAGTGACAATAGATGAAATTAATAAATTGCAATCGTTTTAATAAGAACAGCGGTTTGAGAATTTTGAATATAACTGGCTCTACACCCTCTTTTTGGTTGGTGACCATAATTGACAAAGAGATTATATTCATTGTCATTGTTTTGTTTCTGCTTTACAACATCGTTTGTTAATGCATTTATGGATCTTTTAGACATATTGCAAACAAATTTTTATGACCAATTTAAAATCCAACAACTCAAACAAATTGGGAAAAAGGAAAAAAATTAACAAAGATGCAACACACATATTAAAATAACACATATAACATTAAATGCAAACAAACTACTAAAATTAAAATTTCAATTTGAGTATAATAAAACCTAAACAGAATATGAAACTTTCTTCTACTTGTAAAAAATAAAATTAAACCAAATGGTTTAAATTTGAACTCAATAATTTTAGAGGTTTAACTCACTTACCTTTTGTGTAGAGAATCTTGCAACGCAAACAAAACCAACTTGATGTTAAATAATGCCACGTTCTCAAACCCAGTGGAAAACCAACATAAATATTATTGAACAATAAATTTATTAAACTATGAAGTAACAAAATTGTTAACCACCACCAAAGATGTTTTAACCTATAAAAGAAAAAAAAAAAAAAAGTTGAACCGCACTACAAAAGACATAAACGGAAATACAAATTTAACACAGAATGACATTTGATATACCAAAAAATTTTAAAGAATGATACAAATACCAAGACACATTTATATATATGTATAAACAATTATCAATATAATTAAAAAAAATTCTAAATTCTAAATTTGACATTACTTGTCAGCTCACCCTTTTTTTTTTCTTTTCAATTTCAGCAAAGGCACTTTGTAGCTTATATAAATTGTTGTGGCACTAATCTGCAATATAAAACGTTGTCATAAATAAGATGTACAAAACAATAACACTATAACAATTTTTTTTTTTCATTCAACACAATGGCAACAAACACACACACACACACACATATATATAAACATTTATCAAAATGATTAACAGAAATTTGTAAATTCCAAACTTAACGCTACTTAGTAGCCGGACTCACCCTTTCTTTTTCAATCTCAAAAAGAGCACTCTGTAGCTATATAAATTGCTCTGACGATGATCTGCAATAGAAAATATAGTTACAAATCAGAAACACAAAGGACCAATATTACAATGATTTTGTTTTTCATTCAAAGCACTAATAACTGAGAAAGCTCTATTTCTAAGAAACATTAAAAAAAATTACAAAGCGCACTCACTTTAAAATAAGAAATCACTATCTAGGCACATAATTTTTCTTCCTCTTTATTCTTAAGCTCTGTTTCTAAGAAAGATTAAAAAAATTACAAAGAACGCACACTTTAAACTAAGAAATCTCTATCCAGGCACATAATTTATCTTCCTCTTTATTTTTCCCCCTTCTTTTAACCAATATTTTGTTTTTAATATAACTAAATACAAATCCCAAATCGTAATCATCATACGGACTTCACTCAGCTACCTAAATGACTATTTTCCTAAGTATACACATATATACATGTAAATACCTGGGCATTCTTATACAAAAATTTCATTCCTAAAACACACTCCATTTTTTATCCTACACAATATACACCTTAAATTATAATCTGAATGTAGTTGAACCTTATGATGTAATTAAAAAATAGGAACAAAGAGAAAATGTTATCTACATCATCCTTGACTTTGTAACCATAATAGACAAACTTGCTTTACAACAATGAGTGTCTATACTGTTATCTACATTATCCTTGACTTTGTAACCACAATTTAAGCATTCATAGTCATGGCTACATCGTAGCCCTATCTAAGGAAAATTAGTTCTGATACATCGAAAAAGCCATCAAAATTGCCTAAATTCGCTATTTTTTATTACCAGAGCTCAAGAATACTGAATTCCACAAACCCCCAGCATTAGTAAACACCAAGCCCTGAAACAAAATTCAAAAGCAACAAGAAATGAACCCAAATTAGACCAATAAACACTCAAAAGTTTTACAATATTTTAGCTTTAATTAACACAAATTTGAAAACAAATTATGGAAACAACACAGGAAGCAAAACCCAATTCATCATCCCTCTACCAAAACATGCAGAAATAGGTGTACCAAGCAGCAATTTAACTAATGAAAACAAGCATATTCAATATTCACAAAATACAAACTAGAACAAACACATATCAAGCTCAAAAAACTGACTTGATCCAATTGAGTTGACCCAAGTCTCCCAAAACATACAAAAATCCACCTAAAAGTTCAAAGCTCTGGGAAAATTTCAAAATACTCACCTGAGATAATTCCCTTGCAGAAAACACAGATGAATCACAGATCCCGGAGAAGGGTTCTTGAATCCACAGCAAAGCTTCCTTCTTTTTCCACAAAGACAAAGACTTTCCCGGTCAACCAAAAAACAAGTGCAACATGCGATTTATATAAAAATACTTGCCCAATAATTTTTTCTGGAAAATTGTGATAAGGTGTGTGAATGGAGATGGATTTTTCCAGAAAAAAGCGTTTGGATGTGATTGGAGAAGAAAAGACAGGAAAAGAGAGAGGGCCAAGAAAGCAGGCCATTTTTGTCCAACTTAGATCATCTCTAATCGAAGGTTGAACAGAGGGTTTGTTTTTAACCCTCTGGTTCACCAAAAAATTAATATTTTAATTAACAGTACATAGTCATATTTGCTTGCATCTCCAACCGAGTGCCAAAGAATCATAGGGCTCGTTTTAGCTCTATTACAAAAAACCGTCTCCAACCGAGGACCAAAGGGTCATAAGGCCAAACATAATTTATTATTTAAAAATTACAACTTAAATTCAAATCCAACGGCTAAGTGACATCAGTTAGCTGTTGGTAGCTGATGTCATGCCATTGGATTTGAATTTTTTGTTTTTTTTTTTTTTTGCTATAAATAGGGTGGATATTGGGCTATAATTTACACAACTTTGAATTCAATCTATTTTAATTCAATCTCTTTCAATTCAAGTTTGCAATGAATTTTAACTTTGGATCCTCTTCGGATTCCAACTAGGGGTCCTCATCCAAATCTAAATTGGAAGAAAAATAGGCACAAATGAGACGAGAAGATGAGCAGTCTGATGAAGAAGTTCAAGCAAGGCACAACAAACAAAACAGAGCAGCAGCCATGACTACGACCATCGTGTGTCAACTAACTGAGGAACAACCTTAATAGGATGGCTCTGTTGCTGGTTGCTCTTACAAACCATGGCACAGAGCGATGACGCATGCCAATCTAATTAACAACTACTTCAACCCCAACTCGATGTACACAGAAGAGGATTTCAGACGTTGCTTCCGGATAAGACGTCATGTTTTCGAGCATTTACTTCATGATGTCCAGCAGATCAATCTATATTTTAGACAAAAGCGTGATAGAGCAGGCCACCCTCGTTTCTCACCTCATCATAAGGTTACTGTTGCACTCCGAATGATGGCTTATGGCTCCCTAGCTGATTCGATGGATGAAACCCATGGTATGTCTAATCTACATGCCTTGATTCTTTTGAATAATTCTATGACATAATTGTTCAGGTTTATAAAGACGAGTACCTCCGCGAGCCAAATCAAGAAGATATGAATCGGCTCATTCGCAAAGCTGAAGATCATGGGTTTCCAAGCATGATAAGGTCATTAGACTGCATGCATTAGGATTGGAAGAACTGTCCCACCGGATAGTAAGAAGGCTTTAGCGGAAGGTTGAGAAAGCCAACTGTTGTGTTAGAGGCGGTTGTCTCATAAGATATATGGATCTGACATGCTTTCTTTGGAGTCCCTGGATCCCAAAATGACATTACAGTTTTTGGGCATTCACCCCTCTACAATTGCCTGACGAGAGGTAAAGCACCTCAACTTGACTACTACATCAACTGCCATCAATACAATATAAGGTATTACTTGGTAGATGGCATCTACCCAAAGTGGGCGACACTTGCCCAAATAATTCCAAATCCTAGGAATGATGCGGAAAAGTTGTTTACCTTACACCAAGAGGCATACCGGAAAGATGTTGAGAGAGCTTTCGGTATTCTACAAGCACGGTGGAAGATCATCAGCGAACTGGGAAGAGGGTAGAGTCGAGAAAATTTGGACTACCACATGATGTCTTGCATCATATTACACAATATGATGGTGGAGGATAAGCGAGATGAGCATATTGATGGAGAGTTCAATGACGACCAAGAAGATCCAAAGAGGTCAAGAAGGGCTCATGCAAAAATATATGATGGGTCTAATTTGTCTTTCAATTCAAGAACTAGTAATATCTTTATAAATGAGTACATGAGGCGTTATAGAATGATGCGTTCTCGTGCCACAAATAAGTACCTACAACAGGATCTTGTTGCACATCTTTGGGCCAAAAGAAGCATGGAGTAGGCGTTTAAATTTTATGTTGTTAAATGTTTTTAAAATGGTTGTTTAAATTTAATGTTGTTAAATGTTTTTTTTTATGTTGTATAATTTTTATGTTCGTTAATGTTATTTAATATTGTTTTATATTGTTTAATTGGTTTCATGTTACTTAATTTAATTTAATGTTGTATAATGGCTTAGGAAGTTATAGGAAAAAAAAAAAGAATTTCTAAAAAATATGAAATTTTTTTTTGTAAAATAGAAGTTATAGGAAAAAAAAGTAGAATTTAAAAAAATTATGAAACATTTGTAAAATAGAAGTTATAGGAAAAAAAATGAAATTTAAAAAAAACATGAAACAAATTTTGTAAAATAGAACTTATAGGAAGTTATAGAAAAAAATAGAAGTTATAGGAAAAAAAAATTTGTAAATAAAAAAATAAAATAAAACTGTAAAAAATATTCCAAAATCCGTTGGATTCAAAATTTTGTTTAAGAATTCATGTCGGATATAACCGACATGATTAATAACAATGTTATCGGTTATATCCAACATCAATTCTTAAATTTCTTGTGACATTCCACATCGCCCAGCGAAGTGATCCTTATATGTATATTCTCATCCCTACCTAGAACAAGGCCTTTTGGCAGCTCACTGGCTTCGGGTTCCATGGGAACTCCGAAGTTAAGCGAGTAGTGCGTGAGAGCACTCCCATAATGGGTGACCCACTGGGAAGTTCTCGTCTGAATTCCTAGAAACAAAACTGTGAGGGCGTAGTCGGGGCCCAAAGCGAACAATATCGTGCTATGATGGTGGAGCGGGCTCGAGTTATGGTGGAGGCCCGAGCCGGGATGTGACATTTCTAGCCAGCCCGGGGCTAGCTGGTTGGCTGGATTGGGCTAACCCTTTGGCCCTTTGGCCCTTTCAGATTCCGTGGGGCCCACAAACCCTCTAGCCTAGCCCTCAGTTGGAGACGATTTTTCGGCTATTTTCGATCCTCCAACCCTCTGAACTATTCGGTTGAAGATGACCTTAGTGATGAATTGAGGACTGCAATTTAGTGCTATTGGCTCAATAGACTCTTGGCCTTGAAAGAGTGCTTGACTGGCTTTTTCTTGGTTTCTTTTTCCATGAAATGGGACAGTTTTTTATTTTATTTTTACTGTTAAAAGTGTGTTTCTATTGGTCTATAAATAGTTACCACTACGAAAAGTTTCGGTCATTTCTGTGCTTTTGTGTTCAACCACTCCGTTTTTTTTTTTTTTTTTTTTTTTTTTACTCCACGATAAAACTATAATTGGCTTTGGTCCGTATGGAAAGATTTTTCGGTATGACGATCATTCGACAGTATGTTATATTATTGAGTTATGAGTTAAACAAATTTACATGAGTATTTTTTTTTTCATATTTAGTGAATTTAAGCACAATTGTGATTTACTAGAATTTATGACTAAAAGTGTCATTATCATAAGGACGTTA